CCCTTAGTGAGATGACGATATGTGACATACGAAGGGCTAAAAGGGGCATTTTCAATGATGTGGTGGTAAACTTTTATGCCTTCATCTACCTCCCCGGATTCGCAATGGGCAACAATTAGGTTGTTGTAGGATACTACATTAGGGATAATGTTAGACTGGTTGAAGAAGTACTGAAAAAGGGACTTTGTATCTTCATACCTGCCGGCGCGGTACATGGCAGCTATAATGGCATTGCAAGTGAAGACAGTTGGGCGGGGGTGTGAGAACACTGAATGACGAGCAACAGCTGAGGCGGAATCGAGATCTCCGGCTCTTATCAGAGACTGCACGCGGTTGTGAAGGTTGAGTCTAGGCCCAACCAGAGCAGAGGTGGAGTCAGGGAGGAGAGATCGGGGATCGTCTGAGGGAGGAGGTCTGGGAACATTGTCGCGACGAAGTGCACCAAGCGGTGGCTCGATACGGAGCCGGCGCTTCCTGCGACGGCGCTCAGCTGCGGCCTCCTCCGCGGAGGAGAAGGCAAATGATCTGTGTGTGAGGAGAAAGCTCGGATTTTGATGGTGATTCGCGGAAATGAACCGAGCACTGGCGGCGGCAGCGGCGGCGGTAACACTAGTGGTGGAGGTGCGGCGTAGGACTCGATACAGAGACATGCTTAGGGGCTTCTAGAAAATCACAAACCCTCCTAATTCATTGAAGTAACGGTGCAGAGAAACATGAGACCCATTGAGACCTTAAACCCTTCGCTCATCAATTTTTAATTTATACTGAGTAACTACTTAGAGTATCTCCAACCATAGCAAAATCGCTTTCTATATGTTATAATTTGACAAGTATATACAAAATTTCGTGCTCCAAAGGGTTATTCAAAATTTGGCTAGCTTGTTAAAAAATGAAAACAACTTGCGATTTATAACTAGCATGCTAGAATATAGCTAAGCAAAAATTAATGTGAATTTCTTTTGCAATGATATACTGCACAAATACTCCGTATAACATTTTTTTCCCGATGTGAATGTGATTTTTTTTACCATAAGAAGAGTTGTATGATTTATTTTATAAGAAATGTACCGTAATAGGAGCAAAATATAGGCTTTATACCCAAAGTAGGACCCAAAAGATAAAATCCCCTAAATACGAGTTATTAATATAATCTTATCCTAAACTTATTTCAATACTCTCCACTGCTTCCATGCTAATCGATCTACTCCATTTTCCCATATACTTCCCTTCACTGCAATCTTTCTTTCGAATCCCATTGTCACCACAGTCGGCTATTGCGATCGCCATCGACCACCTCTATATCTATCCAATAGGGTTTCTTTTCTCTTTTTCTTGTGGCGTCGAGACAGACACATATCCAACAAAGGTCTGACGGCTTATCGAGATAGAGCTCTACAACAATGCCGGAAAGACTGAGTCGATGTGAAGCTCAACAAATTCATTTGGAGCAAGGGGATCCGAAGTGTGCCGAGGAGGGCTTGTGTTCGCATGGTGAGGAAAAGGAATGAGGATGAAGATGCTAAGAACTTTACTCACTCGTCACTATTAGTGAGGTTCCAAAGGGACTCAAGGGCTTAGGCACTCCCATCATTGAGGGTGATGATCTTTATTAAATTAGCTATGAATGATACAGTGACATGTTTGTTCTGAATCAGTGCTATTTGGTGTTTTGCTTTTCTTTTTGACATTATACAGTGGCATATTTGTACTTATTAGACGCTATGTTTGGCATTATAGATTGTAATCTTTGGCATTGTGGTATTGTTGCATTGTATAAAAAGTATTTTTTTGACAGTCATTGTAAGACTATAATACTACGTCGACGATGGCATATCCTAGTTCTGTTGGCGGTGGAGGAGGTGAGCTTGGTGATGTGGGAAATCATTGGCAACACACGATTGCACGGTGCGGGGCACGACGGTATGCCGTGGGCAAATGCTGGTGGTGTCGGCGGCGACCGAGATGAGTTTGGTGATGTGGGAAATCACTGACGGCAATCGATTCCGTGGTGGCAGGTCACGGTGGCGGCAGGCGGGCAGGGGGGGCAGTTCATGGTGGCAGTGACGGTGGGTCGGCCATGGCAGTGTCCATTGTGCATTTTTATATCGAAGGGCTGCTATGAAGTGGGAGAACATCATCACTGGTGTGGATTAGAGGTTTAGTGATAAATTTGCTGAATTTGGATAAACTCTGCAAAATACTCAATAGCCCATGGATTTAGTTATAAGAAAAACGACATCATCGTGTCACTGTGAAGTGCAATGCAGAAAGGTCCTTTGGCGAGAGTACGCATCAAGGTTGGCTACGAGTCAGCTAGTGTGTAGGAGCTGCGGGAATTGAAGGAAGTCCATACAAAAATTAATTAAGTTAATTACTCCTATTTGGAGGAGTTTAAGTTTCAAATCCTATTTTTGAGATACAATATAAGTTTTACTCCTAGTTTGGTCCTTTTCCCTTATTTTATTTTAATTAGAAACATTTTATTTTATATTTTTTAATTACATAACGTTATTTTAGGAAGAGGTATTTTAGGAAGATTGGATATGAAAACGTATAATGGGAAGTTCTTTTACGGACGAAGAAAAACGTAGAATGAGAAGTTCTTTTTTGGACGGAGGGAGTATTTCTGTTTTACATTTACATGGATAAATACAATTCATGAACTTTTATATTTTATGTGTTATAATGGTTATTGAAACAAAATATATTTGTTAGTTACACCCTCCGTCCCAAAAAAATTACCCATTTACTATTATGGCATCTCGATAACTGTTATTTGTTTGCGTGTTTTCATTGATCAGTTGATAAAATAAAATATTATTATCAGCTCTTGTTTTGTAGAGTTTTTTTATGTAAATTTTAAATATAATTTTTTATTTTTACAAATTTATAAATAAAATCATTTCAAAAGTCATGAGATTTTGCACGTTGATCAAAATGAGTAAAACATTTTGGGAAGAAAAGAGTTTAATATAACAAGTCATGGTTGGAAAAGAGAGCAAAAAGTGCTTGTTATAACACTATTCATTTGTTTAAAAAAGCAATAGCAGGCCACAAATAACAAGCCCCTTTGGAGATTTTTTTAATGAAAAATCTCAAATGAGTTGTTTATTATTTAAGTCATTTTACTTCAAAAAATCAACATTTAATTTTTAAGCATTTTATAAATTAAAAATTCTTATTTTTTTATATAATTGATTCTATTATAATGTAATATCTAAAACGACTAAAAGTATCACCTAATTATAATGTGATTAAAATTTATTAATAAGTAATGAACCAATAAAGAAAAAACACTACTTTAATTTGCAGTCCAAACATTAGGAACACGCATGGTATGATATGATATGGTATTTAAGTCGTATAGTACCATAACAAAGATGTTGGTTCTGTATAAGATTTTATGCCGTGCCGATCTCGATCCCAAAATCTTAGTTTGGTATGCTTCAAAATTGGTTTCAGTATAAATCATATATATGTACTTAATTTATAATTTAAGATGCAACAAAATTCTTTCTTTTTTTAAAAAAAATGCATTGAATTAAAAAAAACATAAAAAACAGAAAGAGTAATAATTAAATTCTAGAAAGGTTTATGAAATTGAATATATATTTCACAAACTAAAGAAAATAAATGATAACAAAATAATATTCCAAATGATTGTAAATATTTTTGACTCATCAACAAAAACTTAAAAATCAAATAAAAGAACAATGTACACATAATAAAATTTGAATCAAAATTTTAAATAAACTTATTATATAATCAACAAATATAGAAAGAATAATACATTTATGGTATGTTTGGGAACATGGATTTGGATTTCAAATCCGGATTTGGCCTAAATTCCATGTTTGGGAAACTTAAGCATTTTAAATTTGGATTTGAATCAAATTCTTTATATTCACTTAATTTGAAATCCATGCACCTCCCCTTGTCATTTGAAATTCTGAATTTCAAATTTTGGAATTGAAATGCATGAATTGAAATGAAATGCTAGTTGCCAAACACTACCTTATAGTATTTATCTTCAATTTGGGAACATCTGTATTGGGACTACCTTGTATACTGAATCGATCATTCGTATGATTTGATTCTTTTTGTATTCTTCAATATTTTTCAATTCAATTTTATTAGGGGTAATTTTAGCTAAATAAGACTAAAATATAATGACTTTCTCAATATAAGATCATATGTTTTTATTTCTCAATTTAGGACCATTGGTCATTATCTATTAGTCATTATTCAACTAAATGTCTAGTATTATTTGGACATTATTCTTCTCACTAATTATTATTAAGTCTTATTTAGAAAATAAAAAAGTTTAAGTCCTACATTGGAAAATGATTTATGATTTAGTCCTATTCAGATTTTTTTTTTGAGAATTTTAAACTTGAATTCGGTTCCATTCTTGCTCTCTTACCAAACATCATAAAAAAAGGGTGATGCTAGGGGTACACCAAAAGTGTACCCCAAATGTACACCACATACCTCTTTACCATTCATTTTATTTTATTTTTAATTTTTATTTTTTTTTTAAATTTACATGCTTTTTTTTTGTAGTGATGGAGGGGGTGGGGATATTTGGGGTACAGTTTTGGTGTACACCAAAAGTGTACCCCAAATGTACACCACATACCTCTTTACCATTCATTTTATTTTATTTTTAATTTTTATTTTTTTTTAAATTTACATGCTTTTTTTTTGTAGTGATGGAGGGGGTGGGGATATTTGGGGTACAGTTTTGGTGTACCCAATCATTTTCCTTAAAAAAAATTGAGTGACTGATGATCCATTTCCGTTTTCATACGTTCATATTCGTTGGTTTCATTCCTCCCCCAAACGTCCTCGAACCAGTTTCACATTTCACATTGAACTATCTTCCCAAACAACTTTTTCTTTCTTTTTTTTTAAGGCACGAAAAATAAGGTTTTATGCTCCCCGATCACAACCTCTTCGGCATGTCGTAGTTTCCGCATTCTACGGAATTCCGGTGCGCCATCGCCGCCTGTTTCTGACTTCCGATCACCGTCTGAACTCCCCCAATTCTCAGTCTTCCTGTATTGAATGAAGAAGTTTCGCACTCTATCCTTTGTCGTGTACCTTCACATCTTCTTCTGGTATTATCAAGTTTCATGGAATCTCCTTGATCGTGAATTTCGGGTTTCAGGTAATGCCAATACATTCAATGATATAATTAACCGTCGCGAACCTTGTATGATGTTACATTGGATTTTTTCATGTTGAAGGAATTATTCGTCAATTTCTAGCTGATGGAGAGCAACCGCAATGGCCGATGCATCTTCCCCTTGTCAAGTTTGCAAATAGGGTAAGAAATTTGTTGTATCCCCAAAGCTTTGAATGCGAATCCGTTTTGCTCTTGATACTTTTTACCCATGAAAATCATTGAAAATTGAACCATTTTCAATGCAAAAAGGGATTCCTGTGGAGGTTTGTGTTCTGTAATCACATGACTCTTTATAATTCTCATTTGTCAAATGGTTACACGGAGCTTTAAGGGAATTGCCATGGAATAAATCTATGTCAGCCATCGTGCTTAAGTATCAGTTGCTTCAATTCAATGTCGACCGTACCCATTGGATAATACCGGAGTAATTAGCATGACATGAGATAAATCAATAGTCTATACAAAGACATTTCATTGATTAATGCTTCATTCCTTTTTCTGTCCTCAAATGTCAAATTGTGGCATTCAGTTTCTGAAGAAAAAGCAAGAATGTGTTTATTGGGAAGGAGAAGAATGAAAACCTATGGAGATGAAGAACTACTTGTTCATGGCAGTGTAGGGCTCCTTCTCACCCTTGGAGGAAGGATTGCATCACTTTGGCTGAACAACAGAGTGACATACGAATAAGTTTAAGAACTCTTGATATTATAAATGAATAAAAGTCCTCTATTTATTCTACTCTATAGAATCTTTGTGATTTTAAATATATGACACTGTTATCATAAGGGACTTAACTAAATTAGAATACTAATACCAACATGAAACTATAACATACCTGACATTTTGCCTGTGCATATTTACGTTATATCGGTTTCGTATTTAGGAAAAGGGTAAACGGCACATCCTACTTAAATGTTGTTTCCATGACTGACAGGGATTTGCAGTGTTATCTTTCACATCGTAGCATTTTCCTAGCCCCCGAGAGTAAGAAAATTTATATCTTAGTGGACAATCGGCCATGGTTACAAGATCTCATCTCCCACCCAGCACACTTGTGGCAATTGATGGTCACTAAGGTAGATAAACATTTACTGTATTTTTTAAATGTTGCCATGGTTTTATTATGTTGAAAAGAAGGCATGTTTGATTGGCACCATCTTTAAAAATGATAGTCTAGAGTATCCCCCTTTGCAAATACCAGAGGGCTGAAGGAGAAAAGAGAGTCAGGAGACGGGCAAGCGAAACAAGAGTCAAATGCAGGCAATTCAGAGGAGGTTAAAAGATGGTTCTCTCTGTTAGATGCTGCGGCTCTGTCTAGGAAAAGTGCACTATTTCCTGTCAAGAAACTGAAGATTTCTTTAATTAGTAGCAACCTGAATAAGACCTTATATGGCTTCATTGTATTTGAAGTGGCATGGCGTGATGTTCGTGGTATGAACTATTTTAACGAGCTTCAGGTACCTTTTTTCTCATGCCTTTCACTGGTTAATGCTAAATGACGTAAGCAGTCACTAAAGTTTCATTTTAATGGACAGACAGATACTTCATTTGCTTTAGAGGCCAAATTCATGAGAAGATGGGAATTTGATAGTATGACACAAGCTGCTAGTTGTTTGCATTCATGGTTCTCTGGGACAGATGTCGAGAAAAGTACTTTGAAAGAATATCTGAACCCTATGACTGGTATAATTTTGTTCATATTCTCTATAGAACGGAAACTTATTGTAGTAAGCATGTATACATTAATTTCTCTATTTCATTTGCCCAAAAGCCACCAGTGTATAGGATTTTATTCTTGTGTCTCTTAAAAGAGGCAAACTAAAAACTAGGACATAATGGGTAGATAAAACATTTTTCCATCTTTTGGTTTATGCCATATGCCTAGACAACAACAACACAGCCTTATCCCACTAGGTCGGGTCAGCTACATGGTCAAATGACGTCATTGCGCCCTATCACGTACCATATTTGCAGCAAGATCATTGACGCAAAGGTCCCCCTTGACCACTTCGTGCCGAGTCTTCTTTGGTCTACCTCTTCCTCTTGCCATATGTCTATTCACTAGTTGATCAACCCTTCCCACCGGATGCTCTATAGGTCTTCTCTCCACATGTCAAACCACCTAAGATGAGTTTCCACCATCATTTTAGCTCCATACTCGTATTTCCACCTTTTTCTATCAAGGAGCTTGCTATTTTTTTCATTTCTACTTTTATATACTTGCTAAAAGAATTGTGCTTGTCGTTCAGACATTAGCATACTACCTTGAAGCACCTCTAAGCTCTCTTTTATGGGCATGTTATGTTTCCCTATACTTTCTAGTTTCCTAGGACAACCTGTTTGTTGTAGTGATTGAAATGAGTTTTTATTCTACCTTTTCGATGGCTCATTTCATTGTCTTTGGGTATTGAGATCTATGCAGGAGAGGAGTTTTATGATGCTGAAGTAAATTTCTCAAGGACCAGTGTTATATATAGCAATGATGATACTGCTGATGATTTCGGTAGTGATGTTAAATATTCAGTCTGTACAAGTAAGAGTTGCAGCCTGCCCCCAGAAACCATAAAGATCAGCGCAATTTCAAGTAGCCCATCTACATCAAATAGACCTTATAAGAGAAGAAATACACTCAAGGACGGTCTGGGCATGTTTTCTGAAGATACTTGCTGTGGGATAACAGGAGTTCCAGTACCTTCTCAGCAGCCATACTCATCTGATTGTGAAAATGACATTGTTGAGGCTACCAAGTACACGGATATATTAATTTTATTTCGGTTTAATGATCGTGATCTCCCTTTCAAATTAAAGGACATTATCATGTCTGATTTGCGGTTACTTACACTGCTAGAGTGTGGGCTGCCATCATGGGTCATCTTCCTTCAGTCTTACCCTGGACTCTGCCATATCTATCGCCCATGGATGTGCCCCTTAGCAAGATTCTTATATGTGCTTATTTCGGTCATCACTGTTCTTATAGGATTTTATGATCTGTATAAAAATGTCCCACTTATCAAATCAATGGCATCACATTTGTTCGGACCTTTTTTTGATTGGATAGAAACCTGGGAAATGATATCAAGGATTAGGTACTTGGGGACAATGTTGTTTCTTCACAATTTTCAGAAGGCGTTTAAGGGATTCCTCTCAATGACACGCACAGTTCAGTCGTTTCTGTCAATCCTCACACAACCATTTGCCGGACCATTTTCAGAGTTTTTGGAATTCTTCCTTCCATTATGGAACCTATGTAATGAATCAGCAGAGAGTTTATTTTCAATAGCATGGTTAATTCTGGAGACTTTGTGGAATCTGGTTGGGAACACTATCGAGGTCCTACTATTCCCATTGTGGTGTATCCTATCAGTTTTCGAGACCATTGGTAAGTAGAGGATATACTCACCCTGTCCCAAAAAAAGAATGAGATTTGAAAGTTTATTTGTGTCCAAAAAGAGATCTACGTGACAAAAGTAGTTAATTTTCGTGATATATTTATTAGATGCACCAACAGATAAATCTTACGGAGTAAATTCTTAAAATATAGCTATAAATAATGATATCTAATAGTTGTACCTAACCAAAAAAAAATATTTCTTATTGAAACGAGACCTTTTTCTTGGACGGTGGGAGTACGAAATTTGCATGTATTAATTTCTTGTTTTGTACGGAGCATTATACAATTCATCCCATTAATTCATTTTGATTGCAGGAACATGCTTTTTGTACCCTTTATTTTCGATTCTCTGGGAAATACTCTGTGCTCCTATTCGCGTGGTAATGGGGTGCTCTAGTCTCATTGCCAGTGCAAGTGCTTTCATGTATGATGTGATTCTAGATTTGTGGATGTTTTCAAGTGGTATTCTTCGGCTCACTTCAGAGGTCGAGTCCACGGTCGCCTCGGCTGAGGTTTCCATATGGCGCTCTCTCTGGAATGACCTATTCTCCCAGGTTAATCTTATTTTTTTGCCATTATTCAAAAATTTCTTACGTGACAGATACATCTGGTGTTTATGTAGTTCTATGTGACCCTTTACTGACTCGTATTTGGTACACAGATTTTTCGTGCTCTTCGAAGCATTCTCCACGGTCTTGTTGCCTTCCTCATGGCATGCAACCGGCATCGCTTAAGGTGTGGTAATTGATACAATTTGATAATAATGAGTCTTATTGAATAATGAAGGTCCAAGGAGTATATATAGAGATTACATGTAGAATCTCAGATAAGGTAGGAGAAGAAATATAGTAATACAAAGAATAAGGAAACTAAATATATTAGGATTCTATTCCTATTTAATAATCATTACTTTACCAACTGATTTACTACCAATTATCATAGTGTAAGCCCTGGTTCACATAGCTAGATGAGCCCCGGGTCAACATTTATCATCTCTGGACTAAATGTCTATCACTGCTATGGTCATTGGAGTTCAAACATATACTCCCTCCCCTAGTCAACTACTCCATACAATCTTGAAATAAGTTTTAGGGGTATAAGTGACCATTATAAAAACTTGTAAAAACTCATGCATTGATTGAGTTGGCTACAAAATACCAAGTACATGACTAATTTGTATGCTCAATGTGAGTCTCAAGTCTGAACTTGTAAGGTTGCAATTTCCTCTTTGAGCTAGCAACCAAAAGTTCTCTTTTAAAGAAAACAAAATTCTCGATATACATGCCTACCTTGGTATTCTATTGTATGTCTCATTATACATTACATTTGCAGTATTTATAATCATACAAAAGAGTTCATTCAAAGATTATCACAACCCCGTGAGAGAGGCCAGCTGACAGTATACAACGCCAGAGGGCATATATCAGTAACACAGATGGTGAGTTGAAGTTTTCTATCGCCCATTTGTATTCATTTTGTTTTTTGTTCTTATAAACAAGAAGCAATTCCACTAGACTGATCCACATTTTCACTTACTCAAAATAGAACATTTTTCTGATGGTTGGATCAATATATGGAATAACACATTTTTTCAAGTCATGCCGTATGATGTATTTTTTTTTTAAATCACGGTTTATGCAGTTGGGAGAGGAGCGTCCTCACAGAAGAAGAGAACAGTAGTCGAAAAAGTCTCAAAAAATGGTCGTGAAACAAATGGAAGAAACAGTTCAGTGAATTACACTCACGAATCGTTGTGTATTAGTGGTTGTCTGCCTTTCACAACATTCTAAGTTGTGTTTTCTTACTTTTAGTTTTTTAGTTGCCTCCTAGTTTGGTTATGGTATAGCTCAATTGTAAAAGATGTCCAGCGTTGTCATCAGTGTATGTGTATTCCTATCATTGTATATAAAAATGATGTACATATATATGGTACAGAGTATATATTTATGTATAGGGCTCGAATTAAATGTGTAGTTTGGCTTTTTGAATTCCAAGTGAAAATGTTGAAAAGCTCAAGGTGTGGTAAGAAAATGTTGGTTTGGACTTTGGATGAGATAAATATTCTTACCACATTTTGTTTTATATAGAAAGAAAAAGGGAAGTCAGAATTTTATTTATGAAAAATGTAAATTTTAGTTAATAATCAAATTTTTACAATATTAGTTGTAAAAGGTCAAAATTGAACATATAATTTGTTAAAAATGATATATTTTTATTTTAAAGCGAAAAGATTATTTTTGGTGATAGTGTCAAGAGGATAATTTTGAGTTTGATTTCTGACAATTATTTCCGAAAAATAACTATACCACCATGCATAGAGGTCACTAAGTATCAAGTGCAAGTTTTATCTTATGTCAGTCAAAAGTCAATTTGTGATTATAACTCAATTTTTTTTGAAATAACTACTCCCTCCGTCCCAAAATATTTACAACATTTGCTTTTTCAGCAGTCGCGAGAACTTTTGTTTATTTCTATGTTTTCATTGGTTATTTGATAAAATAAAATATTTTTGACATATCTTATTTCGAAGAACTTTTTATGTTTTTGATATGTAAATTTTATTTTTTATCTCTATACCAATACGTAAATAAAATGAATTAAAAAAATTTAATATTTTATCTCGAGAATACAAGTGTGACAAATATTTTGTAACGGATGGAGTATATTACTAGTTCTAAGGAATCATCCGGAATAAGACTCATTCTTTTTAAATTTGGGCTTAGATAACACTTGGGCTATTTGATGGTGTTTGGATTGCATACACAGTTATAGTAGTGTTGACTTAAATGTTCACTATTTTCGATGTTTTATTATTCTCAATGCAACGGGACTAAAAATATTGTAGGACTACGACCGGACAAAAGAATGGGCCGTGTTTCGTCAGTCCATAGTAGTACCTTTTAGGCTGTCACTTTTGTCGTCTAACCCCTTCCCGATGGACCCCACCACCACTTTCACTCCTCAACTTACCCATTACATTCCCCCCTTAAATTTACCCCCACTTTTTACACTCCCTCTGCAACTCCCCACCCTCTCACAACCATGGAAACCCCCTCCCTCCCCATCCTCTTCCTCCTCCTCCTCCTCCTCGCTTCCGCAGATGCCGGTTCCGTCGGCGTCAACTACGGACGCATCGCCAACAACCTCCCCTCCGCCGTCAAGGCGGTGGCGCTCCTCCAGTCTCAGGGTCTGACCCGGGTCAAGATCTACGACGCCGACCCCTCCGTCCTCCGCGCTTTGTCCGGCTCCGGCATCAAAGTCACCGTCAACCTCCCCAACGAGCAGCTCTACAATGCCGCGGAACGGGAGTGGTTTGCCCGCGACTGGGTCCGCCGGAACGTCGCCGCCTACCACCCACGTACCCGGATTGAGGCCATCGCCGTCGGGAATGAGGTGTTCGTTGACCCGCATAACACGTCCCGGTTTCTCGTCCCCGCCATGGAAAACATCCAAGAGGCCCTCGTGAAGTTCGATCTCCACCGCGATGTCAAGGTCTCCTCCCCCATTGCTCTCAGCGCGTTGCAGAACTCATACCCTGCTTCCGCCGGCTCTTTCCGACCCGAATTCGTCGGACCCGTGTTGAGACCCATGCTCCAGTTCCTCCGCCGGACCGGCTCCTTCCTCATGGTGAATTGCTACCCCTTCTTCGCTTACGAGTCGAATTCCGACGTCATCCCGCTCGATTACGCGCTCTTCCGGGAGAATCCCGGCGTGGTGGATGCCGGGAACGGCCTCCGTTACTTCAACCTGTTCGACGCCCAGATCGACGCCGTCTACGCGGCGTTGTCGGCCCTGAAGTTTGACGACATCAGACTGGTGGTGTCGGAGACCGGGTGGCCGTCGAAAGGAGATCCCACCGAGCTCGGAGCGAGCGTGGACAACGCCGCCGCCTACAACGGCAACTTAGTCCGTCGCGTCCTTGCCGGCGGCGGAACCCCGCTCAGACCCAAGGAGGAGCTCACCGTCTACCTCTTCGCCCTGTTCAACGAGAACAAGAAGTTCGGCCCGACGTCGGAGAGGAACTTCGGGCTCTTCTACCCCGACGAGACAGAAGTCTACCGAATCCCCTTCACGGCGGAGGCACTTAAGACCTACCGGGAAATCCGGCCGCCGGTGACCGGAAATCACTGGGTTTCAAAGAGGGGGCAGGGGAGTGCTACGGGACAGACGTGGTGCGTGGCGAACGCGGAGGCGGGGAAAGATAGGCTGCAGGCGGGTCTAGACTACGCTTGCGGTGAGGGCGGGGCGGACTGCCGTTCGATCCAGCCGGGATCCACGTGTTACGATCCGGACACGCTTGAGGCCCACGCCTCGTTCGCTTTCAACAGTTATTACCAAAGGAAGGGGCGAGTGGGCGGCACGTGCTATTTCGGTGGTGCGGCCTACGTGGTCATGCAGCAACCTAGTACGCACCATATCCCCCCTCTTTATCATCATATCTTATTTCTTTTATCCTGTTTTTTAATCTAATTGGATTAATTTTGCTTGCTAAATTTTAATTGAAATGATAATATCATTTTTATATTTCATATTATTGTAATGTCTAACTTTTTTAAATTAATTATCAAAATTAAAATTAAAATTCCAATACAGTTCAATTTTTAAAATTATTTATCAAAATTTAATAATACTCACCATGAATTGATCTTGTATTATTCTCATCATTAAATTTTGTTATTTTTATTTGTCTATTTTGACCATTTTTTCCTTGCCTTTTGATGTACTCCCTCTGTCCACCATAGATCTTCCCAGACATTATTCACAGGGTCAAACTTTACTCACTTTATTTGCTCATTTTTACTAGTCATTTCATAAAATAATATAATCTTGTCACCTCTAGTTTTGTAAAACTTTTCATGTAGTTTATTACTATATAAATTTTATTTTAAAGTTTTACTTCTATAATCAATTAAATTGAATTGAAAATAAAGTCGGTCAAGCCTCGTAACGCGTAATGGGAAGATCTTAGGTGGACGGAAGGAGTATTAGACTATCTGTCTATCTCAATTTTGTTTTTGGTGAAACAAATATTCATTTTTATTTATTTAGAGACAATTGAGGTAAAAAAAATAAGACTTACTCCGTACTTTCTTTGTCTTAAAATGATCTTTCTAATTTATTTGACGAGGTTTGATTAAAAATATTTTAAATCAATTTATATAATTTTAGTTGTAAACTAAAAATATAAAAATTACTCTGGGGTATAAATTTTAAATTTATGATATGCTTATACTCTCTCTGTCCACTATAGATCTTCCCAGATACTATTAGGGTGTCAGGTCAAATTTTACTCACTTTGTTTGCTCAATTTTATAAGTTATTTCATAAAATGATATAGTTTTGTCACCTCTAGTTTTATAGAACTTTTCATGTAGTTTATTACTATATAAATTTTATTTTTAAATTTTTACTCTTATAATCAATTAAATTGAATTGAAAATAAAGTCGGTCAAGCCTCGTAACGTGTAATGGGAAGATCATACATAGACGGAGAATAATATTTTATCAAAATTCGCGAATGTGATTCTAATTTCTAGTCATTTTTTCTCATTTTTTATCGGTTCTTTTAAAAACCAAATCTAACCTAGCGCTAGGGGATTAACGTGCGCGGGAATCTAATAGGGTCCACTCCACGAGACATGGTGTGCACATGATTGATGGTGACAAGGAGGTGTTTGGCTTGTCTCCAGTAGATTTGAATTTTTTTAACCTGAAGTAAATATGAAATACTCCGTATTGTCCGTAACTTTTTGATCTGAAATAAGTTATGATATGGTATAATTTGATTTATATATAATTATATTAAAAATTGTTTCCAATGAATAAATATTACTCCTTAAATAAAAAAAAAGTTGACAAGAATATGGCCTAAAACTTTATTGGGTTGTGAAATAGGCCAAATACCAAACATTCAAACACGCTTCCAATTGTGTTTGACTAACTGGCACTATTTTTTTTTTGTGTGTTTGTTTACAGAATTTGGGAAATGCGAATTGCCCACTGAGGATTGAGCCATTGGATTTGAATGAAGATTGTACCGACCGATTAACTAAGAATGGCAAAAGGCAAAACAAAAAAGGGGGTTTTGTTGAATTTGATATTGTCTTCAAATTCATTTTTGCGATTAGTAAGTACTAAGCACTTAAATTAGTACGCAGTTCTAATTAGTTTGCTTGCTTGTAATCTTTGCTCTTTTTTATCCCTCCCCCATAAACATAGATTAATAGTACTCTCATCCCTACTTTTGTGCACTCCACTCACTTTACTAATTTAATGCTCCATTCCCAAAAAAAAATTTAACACTTTTTTAATTTGTTCAGAAAAGAACATTACATTTCTACTTGAAGAATATACTTTAGTTTGTAAAGAGAAAAATACCCTTTCATTCTTTTTTTTGAATGAGGAATATAGCTCAAGATCTAGATCGCTCCCCCATACGTGGATCTAGACGTGAGGGCTGTTAAATATATATAATATATTTAATATTATTGTATTATTATTGTTACCATATTTGTATATGTTTCCTAGATTGTCTTTCCTACCTTAATTAGGATTGAGACTCTTGTATATATACATGTACTCTCTTCACAATTTAATCAATGAAAATAATTCTTCTTCATGGTATCAGAGCCTAACCAAAAACCCTAATTCTCCCTCTCTGACTTTCGGCCTCCCTCCTCCCTCGCCGAGACACCAGCGCCGCCGCCACTCTCCCTCTCTCTCTCACGGCCGGCCACCCCTCCTNCATTCGGCGTGTTTGAGACACGAAGCATAGTCCCACTATTTTCTTCACGACCCTGCCATTCCATAAAATTAGGAAGTGACCTAGTCTGTATGCCCTGTTGTTCCATAACATTAGGAGGTGATGTCATTTGTCTGCCTTGCTGTTCCATGAAATTGGGCTGTGATGCCTGATACGTTGCTTGATTCTGCCATGAATGCTGGTTTGGCGGCATTTGATGAGCTGGCAGTGACTGTCTAGGCATCGGAGAGGGCCTAGGTCGTGGATTCACATGATATCCAGGGTTTTTGGTAAATAGTGACTCAATTTCGCCCCGCCTTCCGTGGTTCCCAAACTCCTCCAACAGATACATTCTGAATGCAGGGGTGACCCCAACTCCATACTTCACCATCTCATTAAGCAAGTAAATACCAGCATCGTGATTCGTGTCCTTGCAGAGAGCCCTAACCACAATATCATATGTCATAACATCTGGCCGTGGTTCTCTCTCACCCATCTTAGTCAAGATGGGTACACACTCCATGGCCTTACCTTTGTTGATCAAGAAATCGAACCACTTATTAGCGTAAGTAGGTATGACCCTCAAACCTGCCTCCACCATTTTTGTGAACTTCTCTAACACACCCTCTACATTATCCACCTTAACATAAGCATCGATCATTGTTCTATAAGTAGTTACATCCGGATTCAAAGACTTACCACACAACTCCATATAATACTTTTCAGCATCTTTCATCATTTCAAGCTCGCATAGCCTTGTGATCATATTATTAAAACCCGCAACGTCCATTGCAAAAGGTTTTGACTTTACATTCTTTCCAGCCTTCTTGAAAGTCGCCAGGGCCTCTGAAACCTTCCCTGATTTAAAACACTCGTTCACCATGATGTTAAAAGTGTCAGAATTCACTGCTTGGAAGACAGGTGGAGTGTGATCGTCCAACATTGCATCAAACAAATTCCACGCCTCCTTTTGCTTCCCATGCTTTAACAAGACCTCGAGCAGTGCATTACTGGTCACAGGTACCATCCTAAACTTTCTCTCTAACAGATCCTTGTAAGAATCCATGGCTTCCCTATCTCTTCCCTGTTTGAAAAACCAATCCATGAAAGTTGCATTCACAGTTCCATCGTAAACCGAGCACCTCTCTTTAAGCTCATCAAAAAGCTCATTTGCTTTCTCTAAATTCCCCAACTCTAGAAACCCCAAAATCAAATTATTGAAAACTAGAGAGTCTGCACCGTGACCCTTGTTGAGCATCTCCCTGAGGAAATCAACAGCTTCACTTATACGCCCTGAGTCTATTAGTCCCTTAGTGAGATGACGATATGTGACATACGAAGGGCTAAAAGGGGCATTTTCAATGATGTAGTGGTAAACTTTTATGCCTTCATCAACCTCCCCGGATTCGCAATGGGCAACGATTAGGTTGTTGTATGATACTACATTGGGGATAATGTTAGACTGGTTGAAGAAGTACTGAAATAGGGACTTTGTATCGGCATACCTGCGGGCGCGGTACATGGCAGCTATAATGGCATTGCAAGTGAAGACAGTTGGGCGGGGGTGTGAGAAAACCGAATGACGAGCAACAGCTGAGGCGGAATCGAGATCTCCGGCTCTTATCAGAGACTGCACGCGGTTGTGAAGGTTGAGTCTAGGCCCAACCAGAGCAGAGGTGGAGTCAGGGAGGCGAGATCGGGGATCGTCGGAGGGTGGAGGTCTGGGAACATTGTCGCGACGAAGTGCACCGAGCGGTGGCTCGATACGGAGCCGGCGCTTCCTGCGACGGCGCTCAGCTGCGGCCTCCTCCGCGGAGGAGAAGGCAAATGATCTGTGTGCGAGGAGAAAGCTCGGATTTTGATGGTGATTCGCGGAAATGAACCGAGCACTGGCGGCGGAAGCCGCGGCGGCAACACTAGTGGTGGAGGTGCGGCGTAGGACTCGATACAGAGACATGCTTAGGGGCTTCTAGAAAATCACAAACCCTCCCAATTCATTGAAGTAACGGTGCAGAGAAGCATGAGACCTTAAACCCTTTGATCATCTATTTTAAATTTATAGTAACTACTCATAAGTTGTTTGTATTAAAAAATAAATAAATCTTATCCACTTACTTTTAATTTACTTTTTTCATTTTAAGTGGATCATTTATAAAATTATTAATCTTTTTTTTTATGAAAAATCCCAAACGACTTATTTATCATTTAAATTGTTTTACTTCAAAAAATAAACATTTAACTTATAAACATCTTATAAATTAAAAAATATTATTTTTGAATATAATCGACTCTATTATAATATAATATCTAAAAGTATCACTCGATTACAATGCGATTAAAATTTATTGATAAGTAATAAACCAATAAAGACAAAAACACTACCTTAATTTGCAGTCCAAACATTAGGAACGCCCATGGTACGGTATGATATAATATTTAAGTCGTACAATATTGTAACAAACATGTTGGTTTGGTATCAGATTTTACGTAGTATAGATCTCGATCCCAAAATATTAGTTAGTTATGATTCAGTATTGGTTTCAGTATAAATCATACGTACCTAATTTATAAGTTAAGATGTAACAAAATTCTTTATTTTTTAAAAATAAAAAATACATTCAAATAAAAAACATATAAAACTAAAAGAGTAATAATTAAATTCAAGAAAGGTTTATGAAATTTAATTTGTATTTCACAAACTAAAGAAAATGAATGATAACAAAATAATATTCCAAATGGTTGTAAATATGTTTAATTCATCAACAAAAACTTAAAAGTCGAATAAAAAACAATGTACACATAATAAAATTTGAACAAAAAATTTAATAACCTTATTATATAATAAATAAAGAAAGAATAACACATTTATAGTATATATCTTCGGTTCGGGAAACTACCTCGTACCGCTCTCGGATACTGAATCGATCATTCAATTCAGTATGATTTGATTTTTTTTGTATTTTTCGATAATTTTCGATTCGATTTCTTAGTTCTTTCGGAATTCTAAAGTTCAGTTCGGTCTGATTCTTGCTCCCCTACCGAGCATTAGGGGTGGACACGAGACGAGACGGTTCGAGTTTCATAATATCTTGCATCTTGTTCCATTATATTCAAAGAGTTTGGAACGGTTTGAACCACAGGCCTATTCCACTTTGTTCCATAATTTTCGGAACGGAGATAAAACAGAGCGGATTTGGATTGTCTTACTTTGTCTTTGTTCGAAATTAGAGATAAAATATTCAGAACAATGGAGATGAAAATTGATATTTAGACTTACAAAAAACAATGAAAATTAAAAATAATAGAGTATTTAATAAGAATGTTTTACAAAAACCTATACTGTAAGGTCATTGAATATAAGAAGATTAAAATGAAATTAATTAAACAAACGTATGACACAACTAACAAAGGAAGAATACCGGTTTGGGCCAATTACTAATATAGTATTGCGTACTCGAGAATACTCAGTATATAATTTGGGCCAAATGTTAAATGGGACACATTATCAAATGGGACAAAACGGTACACTTTTATGTCGTCTGATGACGGAACGGATTCAAAACAAAAAAAATGAACCCCTAATAGAACAATATAATTTCATAACAGTTCTTGAATTTTTCGAAACGAGACAACGGGAACAGATTTCATGTCCAATCCCTACCAAACATATGAAAAAAATGAGTGACAGTTTATCCTTTTCCGTTTTCTTACGTTCATATTCGTTGGTTTCATTCCTCCCCCAACCGTCATTGAACCAGTTTCACATTTCACATTGAACCTTCTTCCCAATCAACTTTCTCCCTTTTTTTTCCAAAGGCACGGAAAATAAGGTTTTATGCTCCCCGATCACAACCTCCTCGGCATGTCGTAGTTTCCGCATTCTACGGAGTTCCGGTGCGCCATCGCCGCCTGTTTCTGACTTCCGATCACCGTCTGTTAATTTCCCGCGATCAACTCCCTCAATTCTCAATCTTCCGGTAATGGATGAAGAAGTTTCGCACTCTATCCTTTGTCGAGCACCTTCACATCTTCTTCAGGCATTATCAAGTTTCATGGAATCTCCTTGATCGTGAATTTTGGGTTTCAGGTAATGCCAATACATTCAATGATATAACTAACCGTCGCAAACATTGTATGACTTGACATTGGATTTTGTCATGTTGAAGGAATTATTGGTCAATTTCTAGCCGATGGAGAGCAGCCGCAATGGCCGATGCATCTTCCCCTTGTCAAGTTTGCAAATAGGGTAAGAAATTTGTTGTATCCACAAAGCTTTGAATGCGAATCCGTTTTGCTCTCGATACTTTTTACCCATGAGAATCATTGAAAATTGAACCATATAATATTCAGCATCCATAATTAGAGGAATTATAAGGGTGATAAATTCCTCTATTTATTCAACTCTCAAGAATCTTTGTGATTTCAAATATATGACACTATTATCACAAGGGACTTAACTAAATTAGAACACTAATACCAAGAACCATGATATACATGACATTTTGCCTTTGCATATATATGTTATATCCGTTTCGTCTTTAGGAAAAGGATAAAGGGCAAATCCTACTTAAATGCTGTTTCCATGACTCGCAGGGATTTGCAGTGTTATCTTTCATATCGTAGCATTTTCCTAGCCCCTGAGAGTAAGAAAATTTATATCTTAGTGGACAATCGGCCATGGTTACAAGATCTCATCTCCCACCCAGCACACTTGTGGCAATTGATGGTCACTAAGGTAGATAAACATGTACTGTATTTTGTTTAATGTTGCATTGGTTTTATTAAGTTGAAAAGAAGGCATGATTGATTGGCACCATCTTTGAAAATATTAGTCCAGAGTATCCCCCTTTGCAAATACCAGAGGGCTGAAGGAGAATAGAGAGCCAGGAGACGTGCAAGCTAAACCAGAGTCAAATGCAGGCAACTCAGAGGAGGTTAAAAGATGGTTCTCTCTGTTAGATGCTGCGGCTCTGTCTCGGAAAAGTGCACTATTTCCTGTCAAGAAACTGAAGATTTCTTTAATTAGTAGCAACCTGAATAAGACCTTATATGGCTTCATTGTATTTGAAGTGGCATGGCGTGATGTTCGTGGTATGAACTATTTTAATGAGCTTCAGGTACCTTTTTTTCACATGCCTTTCACTGGTTAATGCTAAATGACGTAAGCAGTCACTAAACTTTCAATTTAAAGGACAGACAGATACTTCATTTGCTTTAGAGGCCAAATTTATGAGAAGATGGGAATTTGATAGTATGACACAAGCTGCTAGTTGTTTGCGTTCGTGGTTCTCGGGGACAGATGCTGAGATAAGCACTTTGAAAGAATATCTGAACCCTATGACTGGTATAATTTTGTTCACATTCTCTATAGAACGGAAACTTATTGTAGTAAGCGTATATACATTATATTTCTCTATTTCAGTTGCCCAAAAGCCACCAGTATATAGGATTTTATTCTTGTGTGTCTCTTAAAAGAGGCAAACTAAAAACTAGGACATAATGGGTAGATAAAACATTTTTCCATCTTTTGGTTTATGCCATATGCTTATACAACAACAACAACACAGCCTTATCCCACTAGGTCGGGTCAGCTACATGGGTCAAACGACGTCATTGCGCCCTATCATGTACCATATTTGCAGCAAGATCATTGACGCGAAGGTCCCCCTTTACCACTTCGTGCCGAGTCTTCTTTGGTCTACCTCTTCCTCTTGCCATATGTCTATTCACTAGTTGATCAACCCTTCCCACCGGATGCTCTATAGGCCTTCTCTCCACATGTCAAACCACCTAAGATGAGTTTCCACCATCATTTTAGCTCCATACTCGTATTTCCACCTTCTTCTATCAAGGAGCTTGCTATTTTTTTCATTTCTACTTTTATCTACTTACTAAAAGAATTGTGCTTGTCGTACAGACATTAGCATACTACCTTGAAGCATCTCTAAGCTCTCTTTTATGGGCATATTATGTTTCCCTATACTTTCTAGTTTCCTAGGACAACCTGTTTGTTGTAGTGATTGAAATGAGTTTTTTATTCTACCTTTTCGATGGCTCATTTCATTATCTTTGGGTATTGAGATCTATGCAGGAGAGGAGTTTTATGATGCTGAAGTAAATTTCTCAACGACCAGTGTTTTATATAGCAATGATGATACTGCTGATGATTTCAGTAGTGATGTTAAATATTCTGTCTGTACAAGTAAGAGTTGCAGCCTGCCCCCAGAAACCATAAAGATCAGCGCAATTTCAAGTAGCCCATCTACATCAATTGGACCTTATAAGAGAAGAAATACACTCAAGGACGGTCTGGGCATGTTTTCTGAAGATACTTGCTGTGGGATAACAGGAGTTCCAGTACATTCTCAGCAGCCATACTCATGTGATTGTGAAAATGACATAGTTGAGGCTACCAAGTACAAGGATATATTAATTTTATTTCGGTTTAATGATCGTGATCTCCCTTTCAAACTAAAGGACATTATCATGTCTGATTTGCGGTTACTTACACTGTTAGAGTGTGGGCTGCCATCATGGGTCATCTTCCTTCAGTCTTACCCTGGACTCTGCCATATATATCGCCCATGGATGTGCCCCTTAGCAAGATTTTTATATGTGCTTATCTCAGTCATCACTGTTCTTATAGGATTTTATGATCTGTATAAAAATGTCCCACTTATCAAATCAACTGCATCACATTTGTTCGGACCTTTTTTTGATTGGATAGAAACCTGGGAAATGATATCAAGAATTAGGTACTTGGGGACAATGTTGTTTCTTCACAACTTTCAGAAGGCGTTTAAGGGATTCCTCTCAATGACACGCACAGTTCAGTCGTTTCTGTCAATCCTCACACAACCATTTGCCGGACCATTTTCTGAGTTTTTGGAATTCTTCCTTCCATTATGGAACCTATGTAATGAATCAGCAGAGAGTTTATTTTCAATAGCATGGTTTATTCTGGAGACTTTGTGGAATCTGGTTGGGAACACTATCGAGGTCCTACTATTCCCATTGTGGTGTATCCTATCAGTTTTCGAGACCATTGGTAAGTAGAGGTAATACTCACCCTGTCCGGCTGTCCCAAAAAAAGAATGAGATTTGAAAGTTTATTTGTGTCCGAAAAGAGACCTACGTGACAAAAGTAGTTAATTTTCGTTTTATATTTATTAGATGCACCAACAGATAAATCTTAAATTCTTCAAATGTAGCTATAAGTAATGATATCTTTTAGTTGTACGTGACAAAAATAAAAATGTTTCTTATTGAAACAAGACCTTTTTCTTGGGCGGTGGGAGTACAAAATTTGCATGTATTAATTTCTTGTTTTGTACGGAGTATTATATAATTCATCCCATCAATTCATTTTGATTGCAGGAACATGCTTTTTGTACCCTTTATTTTCGATTCTCTGGGAAATACTCTGTGCTCCTATTCGCGTGGTAATGGGGTGCTCTAGTCTCATTGCCAGTGCAAGTGCTTTCATGTATGATGTGATTCTAGATTTGTGGATGTTTTCAAGTGGTATTCTTCGGCTCACTTCAGAGGTCGAGTCCACAGTCGCCTCGGCTGAGGTTTCCATATGGCGCTCTCTTTGGAATGACATATTCTCCCAGGTTAATCTTTTTTTTGCCATTATTCAAAAATTTCTTACGTGACCCTTTACTGACTCGTATTTGGCACATAGATCTTTCGTGCTCTTCGAAGCATTCTCCACGGTCTTGTTGCCTTCCTCATGGCCTGCAACCGGCATCGCTTAAGGTGTGGTAATTGATACAATTTGATAATAATGAGTTTTATTGAATAATGAAGCTCTAAAGAGTATATATATAGAGATTACATGTAGAATCCCAAATAAGGTAGGAGAAGAAATATAGTAATACAAAGAATAAGGAAACTAAATATATTAGGATTATATTCCTATTAATAACCATTATTTTACTAACTGATTTACTACAACTTATCAGAATGTAAGCCCTGGCTCACATAGCTAGATGAGGCCCGGGTCAACATTTATCATCTTTGAACTAAATGTCTATCACTGCTATGGTCATCGGTGTTCAACAATATACTCCCTAGACAACTATCCATACAATCTTGAAATAAGTTTTAGGGGTATAAGTGACCATTATTAAAACTTGTAAAAGCTCATATATTGGTTGAGTTGGCTACAAAATACTAAGTACATGACTAATTTGTATGCTCAATGTGAGTCTCAAGTCTGAACTTGTAAGGTTGCAATTTCCTGTTTGAGCTAGCAACCAAAAGTTCTCGTTTAAAGAAAACAAAATTCTTGATATACATGCCTACCTTGATATCTATTGTATGTCTCATTATACATTACATTTGCAGTATTTATAATCATACAAAAGAGTTCATTCAAAGATTATCACAATCCCGTGAGAGAGATCAGCTGACGATATACAACGGCACTGGGCATATACCAGTAACACGGATGGTGAGTCTCATTCTATTACAGTCACTGCAAGTTTTCTATCGCCCATTTGTAGTCATTTTGTTTTTTGTTATATACTCCCTCCGTCTATAAATAAACTTCTCGTTCACTATTCACATAGTCAAATTTTATTTACTTTGTTGGCATATTTTCATCACTCATTTGATAAAATAATATAGTTATGTCATCTCTAGTTTTGTAGATCTTTTGATATAGTTTTTTAATATGTAATTTTTATTTTTAAATTTTACACCATTTTTTCATATAAAATGATTTAAAAATAACTTTAGTCAAATATCGTAACGTGCAATGGAAAATTTATTTGTGAACGGAGGGAGTTAACCCAAGCTCCACTGGCTTGACGCTTGAGTGGTAGCAAGTCCACTCCCCCAGAATCATGGGGAAGTTAACCCAAGCTCGAGCCCCATCGGAGGTGGATGCATTGGCTCTTTGTGCATCATTAGATTGAGAATAATATAAACAAATACTACCTAGTAATAGAGTCAATAGCATTAAAAAATGAGTGACAATTCTACCTGATTCACAATTTGACATACTCAAAACAGAACACATTTCTAATGGTTGGATTAATATATGGAATAATATTTTTCAAGTCATGCTGTATTATGCAATTTTTTTTCTAAATCACCTTTTATGTAGCTGGGAGATGAGCGTCCTCACCGAAGAAGAGAACAGTAGCTGGAAAAAGTTTCAAAAAATGGCCATGTAAAAAACCAACAACAAATAGAAGAATCAATTTAGTGAATTACAGTCACGGTTTGTTGTGTATTAGTGGCTGTCTGCCTTAAAGAGCATTCTAAGTTGTTTTTTCTTACTAATGTAGTTTTTTAGTTGCCTCCTAGTTTGGTTATGGTATAGCTCAATTGTAAAAGATGTGCATAGTGCTGTGATCAGTGTATGTGTATTCCTATCGTTGTATGTAAAAAGTTATATATACTCCCTAGTATATATTTATGTATAGGACTCAAATTAAATGTGTAAGGTGTTTGTAGGAATGTGTGTGTTTGGACCTTGGATAAGATAAATATTCTTAGCATATATTCTTTTCATAGAAAGTAAAAGGGAAGTATAAACTTTATTCAGAAAAAAATGTAAATTTTAATCAACAGTCAAAGGTTTGCAATTTTGATTGTAAAAAGTTAAACCTCCACAAATATTTTATAAAAAAATAGCATTTTTTAAAATGAATACACTATTTTGATTGCAAGTATAGAGTGCAAGTTTTATTTATGTCAGTCAGTCTGCGATTATAACTCAAGTTATGTTTTTGAAATGCCTCTCATATAAGAATAAGAAGAATATGAGACGCATTCTTTTTAAATTTGGGCTTAGATAACATTTGGGCTATTTGATGGTGTTTGGATTGCATACACAATTATAGTAGTGTTGACTTAAATGTTCACTATTTTCGATGTTTTTTTTTAAATTCTCAATGCAACGGGACTAAAAATATTGTAGAACTAGGACCGGACAAAAGAATGGGCCGTGTTTCGTCAGTCCCTAGTAGTACCTTTTAGGTTGTCACTTTTGTCGTCTAACTCCTTCCCGATGGACCCCACCACCACTTTCACCCCCTCCCCCATTACAATCCCCCCTTAAATTTACCCCCACCTTTTTACACTCCTCTGCAACTTCCCAACCCTCACAACCATGGAAGCCTCCTCCCTCCCCATCCTCTTCCTCCTCCTCCTCGCTTCCGCAGATGCCGGTTCCGTCGGCGTCAACTACGGCCGCATCGCCAACAACCTCCCCTCTGCGGTCAAGGTGGTGGCGCTCCTCCAGTCTCAGGGTCTCACCCGGGTCAAGATTTACGACACCGACCCCTCCGTCCTCCGGGCTTTGTCCGGCTCCGGCATCAAAGTCACCGTCAACCTCCCCAACGAGCAGCTCTACAATGCCGCGGAGCGGGAGTGGTTTGCCCGCGACTGGGTCCGCCGGAACGTCGCGGCCTACCACCCCCGTACCCGGATTGAGGCTATCGCCGTCGGGAATGAGGTGTTCGTTGACCCGCACAACACGTCCCGGTTTCTCGTCCCCGCCATGGAAAACATCCAAGAAGCCCTCGTGAAGTTCAATCTCCACCGCGATGTCAAGGTCTCCTCCCCCATTGCTCTCAGCGCTTTGCAGAACTCCTACCCTGCTTCCGCCGGCTCTTTCCGACCCGAGTTCGTCGGACCCGTGTTGAGACCCATGCTCCAGTTCCTACGCCGGACCGGCTCCTTCCTGATGGTGAATTGCTACCCGTTCTTCGCTTACGAGTCCAATTCCGACGTCATCCCGCTCGATTACGCGCTCTTCCGGGAGAATCCCGGCGTGGTGGATGCCGGGAACGGCCTCCGTTACTCCAACCTGTTCGACGCCCAGATCGACGCCGTCTACGCGGCTTTGTCGGCCTTAAAGTTTGACGACATCAGACTGGTGGTGTCGGAGACCGGGTGGCCGTCGAAAGGAGATCCCACCGAGCTCGGAGCGAGCGTGGACAACGCCGCCGCGTACAACGGCAACCTAGTCCGTCGCGTCCTTACCGGCGGTGGAACCCCGCTCCGACCCAAGGAGGAGCTCACCGTCTACCTCTTCGCCCTGTTCAACGAGAACAAGAAGTTCGGCCCGACGTCGGAGAGGAACTTCGGGCTCTTCTACCCCGAGGAGACAGAAGTCTACCGAATCCCCTTCACGGCGGAGGGACTGAAGACCTACCGGGACATCCGGCCGCCGGTGACCGGAAATCACTGGGTTTCAAAGCGGGGGCAGGGGAGCGCTACGGGACAGACGTGGTGCGTGGCGAACGCGGAGGCGGGGAAAGATAGGCTGCAGGCGGGTCTAGACTACGCTTGCGGTGAGGGCGGCGCGGACTGCCGTTCGATCCAGCCGGGCTCCACGTGTTACGATCCGGACACGCTGGAGGCCCACGCCTCGTTCGCTTTCAACAGTTACTATCAAAGGAAGGGGCGAGTGGGCGGCACGTGCTATTTCGGTGGTGCGGCCTACGTGGTCATGCAGCAACCTAGTACGCACTATATCCCCCCTCCTTTTATCCTGTTTTTTAATCAAATTGGACTAATTTTGCTTGCTAAATTTTAATTGAAATAATTCCTCCCGAGATAATAAATTTGATAAAATCATTTTTACATTTCATACGAGTATTATTGTAAAGTTTAATTTTTTAAATTAATTATCAAAATTAAAATTCCTGTACAGTTCAATTTTTAAAATTATTTATCAAAATTCAAAAATGCTCACCATGAATTGATCTTGTATTACTCTCATCATTAAATTTTGTTATTTTTATTTGTCTATTTTGCCTATTTTTTCCTTGCCTTATGATATATTAGACTATCTCAAGATTTTGGTTTTGGTGAAACAAATATTCATTCTTATTTATTTAGAGACAATTGAGGTAAAAAAGACTTACTTCCTTTGTTTTAAAATGATTTTCTAATTTGTTTGACGAGTTTTGATTTAAAATATTTTTAAATCAATTTATTTAATTATAGTTATAAACTAAAAATATAAAAATTGTAAATTTTAAATTTGTGACATAGCTATATTATTTTATTAAAAAATTTTAAAAATTATTTATATTTACAAACGCCGAGTTTGGAAAGTTAGCTAATGTGATTCTAGGCATTTTTTTCTCATTTTTATCCGTTCTTTTAAAAACCAAATCTAACCTAGCGCTAGGGGATTAACGTGCGCGGGAATCTAATAGGGTCCACTCCACGAGACATGGGGTCCACATGATTGATGGAGACAAAGGGGCTGTTTGGCTCGTCTCCAGTAGATTTGAATTTTTTAACCTGAAGTGAATAGTAAACAAGTTGAATAGTTTTGAGTAAGTTTTAGAGAAAAAGTAAAACATTGAAAATATATTAAAGTCAAAATTTCATGTTCTTTATTTTTAAAATAAAAATTAGAATGCATTTTAATTATCAATCATGATTATGCGCATTAGTAAGATCGGCTAGCTTCTATAGCCACTCAAAAAGAGTGGCTATGGAAGGCACTCACCCAATTGGGACACCTACGGTGCTCCGTTATCAAAATTGATAGTTCTTATCCCCTCTAATCCCCCAGGAAACCCCCTCACTCGTTCCGATCCCAACTCATCTCCCTAACCACGCCAATTGCGGGGTGCAAGTTTAGTTGACTTTGGAATCAAAATTTTTTATTTTAAAGTCAATTATACTTACGGGGTGCAATTGACGTAAGTGGGGTGATGATTTGGGATCGAGACTTGGCGGCGGCGGGGGGGGGGAATTACCGGGGGTGGGAATCATCAATTTTATGAACGGGGCTCCGTAGGGGGCAGTGGCTTCCGTGACCACTGAAACCCAGTGGCCACCGAATCGGGCCGTAGTAAGATTACCAAAAAGTATAGTATCATGCAAATGTACAGTTCCACACTACAACAATGCAAACTTTATTTTGGGAAGAAATATGGAACTTCTAATTTGATACTTTTCTCTTTGTTTTATTTCTATTTAGGATGATTTTTTTAAGTTCTGATCTGGTCTGAATATAATTAAATTTTTTTAAATTCTCATCTGATTTCAATAAGAATAAGTAATAAATAAAAAACGGTAAGTCTAAAATGACACTAGTGCAGTGTCATTTGCTTACACCAATTCGTTTGGGATACCTACGGTGTTCCGTTTGTAAAAACGACGGTTCCTACCCCCCACTAACCCTCCCCCTAAACCCCCCACCCCAGCCCCCCTCCCTACCCTAGCAGTACAACTGCCCGGGTAGGAAGGGGGGCGGGAGGGGGGCTGGGGTGGGGGGCAAGGGTTGGGCTGGGGTGGGGGGTTTAGGGGGAGGGTTAGGGGGTAGGAACTGTCGTTTTTACAAACGGAGCACCGTAGGTACTCCAAACGAACTAGTGTAATCAAATTGTGTATAAGTAACTGGTGTCATTTTAGACGCTCCCTAAATAAAAAAGGGCTGAAGCTAGGTTATTGGGTTGTGGAATAGGCCCAATACCAAACATTCAAACAAGCATCAAATGGTGTTTGACTAACTGGCACTATTCATTTCTCTTTTGTGTTTGTTTACAGAATTTGGGAAATGCGAATTGCCCACTGAGGATTGAGCCATGGGATTTGAATGAAGATTGTACCGACGGATCAACTAAGAATGGCAAAAGGCAAAACAAAAAAAGGGTTTTGTTGAATTTGATAGTGTCCTCAAATTCATTTTTGCGATTAGTACATTGTTAGAACTAAGCACTTAAATTAGTCCCTAGTTCTAATTAGTTTGTTTGCTTGTGATCTTTGCTCTCTTTTATCCCTCCCTCATAAACATAAATTAATAATACTCTCATCCCTACTTTATGCACTCCACTCACTTGACTAATTTAATGCTCCTCGTCCCAAAAAGATTACAACACTTTCTTTTTTTATTCGTTCAAAAAAACATTGCATTCTTGTTTAAAGAATGTACTCTAGTTTGTAAAGACCAAAATACCTTTACCCTCTCTTTTTTAATACTAAACTCAATCAATCTTATCTTATCCCTCCTAATTCCCATCACTCACTCCGTATCTCTAGCTCTTCTTCTCCATATTCTAACCTTTCTCTCTCTTTCTCATATGTGGTTTTTCTTCTCTGTTACGATCTTCCACTTCTCTGACTACCTCATCTTCTCTCTCACCATCTTTGATAACTAGCTATGGGTAGTCCAGATCTTTCAATTCCTACTTTTCACCTATTAAATGAGGAATACAGCTCAAGATCTAGATCATCCCCATACGTGGATCTAGACGTAAAGTGAGGGCTCAATTTCCTACTCCTTCGACCATATCTGATATATACCTGACTTGAAAGTTTCAAAAGAAGTATGGGGATGAGGCATGATTTGTGGACTCGGAATTTGAGTTTGAGAGTGATGAAGGTGAAAGCGACGAGGTGACATATGATTACGACCATAAGAAATTGGATGCACAAATTATATTTTCATGGACAACCCTCTACTAGTACCCCTTGATGTTCCTTTATGTGGTATGAATTCTCCTTAAGCACTCATTTTTAATGATGGAGAGTTGGTTTGCATGTTATGGGATTCAATTTATTGACTGATGATGGATTGGGGATTCAATTTTCAATGCTATTCAATAAGTCCTTACATATTTGTGCCATTCTTGCAAAAACAATGTGTGCTTTGTATTGTCCAATGTGTGTGTCTGACCTTTGTTTTAACACTTGATGAAGTCTGTGATGCCTAAAGATATGTGCTTGTTTCTGCAACCTATGATGCCTAAATGTGAGTGTTGTTCCTGAGCAGAGTGATGCCTACTTCTGTGTTAGGTCTGTAATGTTCAATGTTGTGTGCTTATTTATGAGAACTATTATGCCTAATTCTGTGTTAGGTCTGTGATATCCAATGTTATGTGCTTGTTTCTGAGATCTATGATGCTTAATTGTGAGTGTTGTGATGCTCAATCATGTGTACTTGTTTCTGAGACCTATGATGCTTAATTGTGAGTGTTGTGATGCGTAATGTTGTGTGTTTGTTTTTGAGACCCATGATGCCTTATTATGTGAAAATGGGTCCTTAGGTATGTGATGATGCCCAATATTGTTTGCTTGTTTCTTAGACCTATGATGTCTTATTATGTGCTAATGGGTCTTGAGATCTGTGATGCCCAATGTTGTGTGCTTGTTTCTAGACATATTATGTCTACTTCTATCTTAACTCCTTATAAGTACAATACACAAATAAATAAGAAAAAATTTACTACACTTCAATACATAGGTAAAATATACTCCGTAATTCACAACAGTTGGGGGTTTGTATGACTTGTCTCCTACCTAATATTTGCACAAAATAACAAAAAATAATTATAACACCTATTGGAAGTACTTACACGATTTGTACAACCCCCAATTTTATTTACAAACAGTCCACAAAAATGGCAAAAAGAGTGCCTTGTGCACCAAATGAAAATAAACTAGTACTCGTTCCTTGTGTTGATATGAAATTTCTAGTAGCCTCCACAACTTCCATACTAACTTCAATATTTGTTGGCAATTGCTCCAGCCTCTCGAGTTTGTCCTTTCCAATGTGGGGAATTTTATAATAAACTGCTCCATCAGTTTATTTGGTGATTTTTAGATGCATGTTCATTTTATAATTCTTAATATATACTCCTTCCGTCACAATTTACAGTGTCTGTTTTGGTTTACGATGTTTCTTAAAATTATTTTCAAATCATTTTATATGATAAATGGTATAGAGTTAAAAAATAAAAATTACATATAAAAATACTATATCAAAATATCTACAAAACTAGTAGTGACAATAATACTTTATTTTATTAAATTGCTAACGAGAATAGAGAAAAAAAAGTAAAAGAAGTTTGACCTTGTAAATAGTAAACATACACTATTAATTTGGACAGAAAAAGTAAAATAATTGTATGTATTGAGTCGTATAAAAAGAAAGAGATCTAATTATGAGTTCATGACAAATATATTAAAAGGTCCACATTTCACATATAAATTTTTGGGAGAGAAGCCACAAAGGAAAGGGAAAAAATATACCTAAATTAAAAATATGTTAAGAATCCATACTTTATTTAAAAAGACATGGAGTCAATATTGCATTTTCCCGCCCAAAGAGTATGACCATTGCATATGATAATGTGAAGTTAAAATGGCAAGTGTCTGAATTTATAGTAATATAAAATTTACGTTTTATAAGTATAATTATTATATAATATTTATAATAATTAAGTTTCATTTTTAATGTCCGAAATTTATACGAGCAAGAAAGGTAGGTTATAAAAAATATTTATAAACTTTAATACATGCCAATCAATGCTATTAAAAACGTGTGTATGATTATTATTATCATAATTATATAATTATATGATTACCATGTGACTAGGTTATATAAAAAATATATGTGTATAATTATAGTACGGAGTATAATATAATTATGGTAAGAATAATTATACACATAGTTTTGAAAAAATTAATACGATAAAATCCTTTATATATATATATATATATATATATATATATATATATATATATATATATATGTTTAATAGAAAGAAAGGTAATAACCAAAAGTATAATAATTATTATTCCATGTAATTATTACCTATATAAATGGTAAGTGTCCGAAATTATAGTGTCCATTTTTAACCCATGCACAAAATATGACCATTACATATGGTAATTTTGAAATTAAATGGTAAGTGTCAAAATTAAAGTAATATAAAATGGTAATTTTGAAATTAATATAATTATTATTTTTGTAAGTATGGTAAAAAATAATTATTTTTACAAGTGTCAAAAATTTTGATATTAAGCACGCTATTAATGAAATCTAATTAATTATTATTTCAAATTAATTATAGTAATTTTAATTATAATAATTTCAATTAAAATTGTATATTACGTGTGATTACTGTGTCAAATTAATTATAGTAATTAAATGTTAGTTACCGTGTAAAATTAATTATATTAATTTCAAATATAGTAATTTTAATTAAAATTTTATATTACGCAATTAAAAATCTAATATTACGTGTGACTACATAATTGTATATTAATTACCGTATCAAATTAATAATATTAATTTTAAGTATAATAATTTTATAATGGCTATATTTTAATTATAGTGGATATATTTTATAATTGTAATATTTTACTATATTTTAATTATAGTAATTTTAATAAAAAAGATAATAGTTAACGAAGGTATTAATTATATAACACTGTGACTACATAATTGTATACTCCGTATTAATTACCGTGTCATTTTAATTATAGTAATTATAAATATAATAATTTAAATAATTAGTAATTGTTAAGTATTTAAAGATGGAAAGAAATTAAAGTGCTTGAAATTATAGTAATATAAAATGAACTATAACTATTGTAAGAATTAAATATCCCTTAAATAAATAAATATATATATATATATATATATATATATATATATATTTACGTTTAATAGCTAGAAAGGGAATAACTAAGAAAGGAAATAATTAACTTTCAATTTTAAAGTGTCCGAAATTATACTAGGAAGAAAGGTAATAAAAAAGGTAATAATTAACCATAGTATTAATTATGTAACCGTGTGACTAAATAATTGTATATTAGTTATTTTGTCAAATTAATTATAGTAATTTTATAATGGCTATATTTTAATTATTGTGACTATATTTTATAATCGCTATATTTTACGATATTTTAATTATAGTAATTTTAATCAAAAAAGGTAATAATTAACTAAGGTATTAATTATATAACCGTGTGACTAGATAATTGTATACTCCATATTAATTACTACGTCATTTTATTTATAGTGATTTTTATTATAGTAATTTTAAATATAATAATTTAAATAGTTTAAGTATAGTAATAATAATTTAAATTCATTATAGCACTTTGAAAAATAATATTTTTTAAACCCCGTATGCAAAAATCATGTTATAAATACATCCATTTACCAAGCTTTCATAGCCATTACAATCATCGTGAATTTTTTTCCCCTACGTTTCAAAATTGTCATTCCTACGAAAAATGGGTATCTTAACTGGTTTGAAAAATGTTGATGAGTGGTCATCACATATTTCCATAACAATAATCCAACATGTTTTAGTCACAGACAATTCTATGTTGCAGTTTCAAAAGTAACTAATCGTAGTGGGTTGAAGATTCTAATATGCAATGAAGACATTATTCCCATAAATTGTTCAAATAATGTAGTCTGTAAAGAAGTCTTTCGAAATTTGTAAAGCAGTGATATTTTGTATCTTAAAATAATATAATCTCTATATTTTATTGCATCTCATTTTTTATCATTGAAAAATGATTTGAATTTAATAACATAAAAATGACTCGTGCAACGCACGGGTGTAATACTAGTTCATTCTTAGAATCTCGTGTTTTTGTATTCCATAACTAATTATATTTAGTTTTGTTTTACGACTTTATTGTGTACTATTAGAAATAATTATTTGGTATGTAGATAATTACATTAATAAAAATGGCTACAATATGTTCAATATATATACTAAGCTCTACAAATTATATTTCTTTTATAAGTACTAACTAATTTTTAACTCTTTCCAGTTTCTTCCCTTTTCTTCCAGTTCTTCCAGTTTTTTCCAGTTCTTCCAGTTTTTTCCAGTTCCTTCCAGTTTCTTCTAGTTTCTTCCGATTTTTTCCAGTTTTTTCTAGTTTCTTCTAATTTTTTCCAACTATATTTATTTTCTTCAAATTCTTTCTATTTTCTGACAAATCACTCTAAAAAATATATTTTAATTATTAATATTATTATTACAACTTTTTTTAAATTACAACTTTTATGTTCATAACTATAGTTTATAAATTATTTAATTTTTTCATCTCACTAATCTTATGATTCACTTTCATTCTTCCACTTTCTTCAACTTTTTAATATGAATAATGCCATTTTTTTGTATATTAATCTACATGAAAAATTAGGAAACTATTTAAAAAATTATGGATAAATAGTTATATAGAATATTTTTAATCTAAATTTATATAAAGTAAATTACATTTAAGGGTCTGGAAGAATAATATTATGAAAACCAAGAGAAAACTACATTTTGAAAAAGAAAAAATGATCCAAGAAGTGTAATATTTATGCTAATTTTATATTCTAATTATTTTTTAAAACTAGCTTTTTATATATGAAAAATAATACTCGTAATATTTTTCATCACCACCACCAACAACAACAACAATAACAACAACAACAACAACAACAAGAATAATAATAATAATAATAATAATAATAATAATAATAATAATAATAATAATAATTTATAACAACAAGAATCAGAATGAGAATAATATAAAACCACACATAAATTTTTTTAAAAAAGTTTTTTAAGATTTTTCAAATTTTCTAGTTTTTTCAGTTTTTCCAATTTCTTCCAGTTCCTTCCAGTTTTTTCCAGTTCTTCTAGTTTCTTTTCTTCCAGTTCCTTCCAGTTTCGTCCAACATCCAGCTCTTTTTTCAGTTCTAAAGAACAGGCACGTAATATACGCGGTGGGATGAAGATGAGGTATTTCTAATTAAACATGAAATATTGTCATTATTTTGAAAAAAATAAAAATATGGAAAATTTTGTTTCAGGAAAATAATCTAAAGTTAAAAAATAAAATGATAAATAAGGAAGGAGTAATAGTATTTGTTAGAATATAAGAAACATTTTCTAGGCCACAACCACAAGTTTGAGCTTTTGGTTGAGTTGGTTCCTTGACATAGTATTGGAGCCTTGTTGACTAAGAGGTCACAAGTTCGGAACTCAGCACCACTCACTTTTAAAATATTAAAAGGTTTCACGTGTGAGCTCGAAAAAAGGCTACGCTTGCACGTGGTGACTTGTTAGAATATAAGAAACATTTCCTGGGCTACAACCACAAGCTTGAGCTTTTGGTTGAAAAATTAAAAGGTTTCATGTGCGAGCTCAAAAAAAGGCTACGCTTGCACGTGAAGGGGCGTGTTAGAATATAAAAAACATTTCCTGGGCCACAACCACAAACTTGATCTTTTAGTTGAGTTGGCTCAAAGATTTGAAATGAATTTTGAGATTTAATATGATTCTTTACTATTTTACTTTGAATTTGCAAGATTTTTATAGGATTTGAATAGCAAATATTAGTTGGGATCAACTTTTGGTTTCCGAGAGAAGGCCTCAAACCTGGTGGCTCAATATTCAACTAATCATTGGCACATAGTTAAGGAGTTCATTAATACATATGTATATTTGAACAAACTGAACAATATAAAACAGGCCTAGCAAATATATATTACTTTTGATTTTTGTTCTCAGAAAAGTAATCAACCACTAACAAGTTATAGAGTGTAGTTATCAATTCTTCTAGGTGTTTCTATATATCTCTAATGAGAAACTCCAAATACTCAAAAATCAAAGGAATCAATTTTGAAATACTTTTGTTACGAAATTTGTACTTGATTCTAAACCTTATTTTTAGGCATGTGCTCGGAGCTCTTTGGTCTTATGGATTTTGATTGTATTGCTATAAGTCAATGCTTTTTATTGTTTGAGAATTGAGATCAGATTGTCCTTCCAAATTATAAATGGTCAAACGTAAGAGTATTTAGGATTTTGTTTGTTGGTTATATCCATTAGCGTTACTCTAGGATGTTCACTCATTTTCATGAAGGAGAAAAACTCAAATTAAATTAACCAAAAAATTTAAAAAAAAACATGAAAAAAGAAAATAACCTCCAAAGCAAGATTTTCACCCTCAATCTCCCTTCCCCTTATCCACCAAGAACAAATCATAGCCAAATTGTGAAGAAACAAACAGCCTTGTTTGTGAGGTAAGGCATAAATAATGCCAAGCAAGTTGAAGAAGGCTATTGGTGCAGTGAAAGACCAAACAAGCATTAGCATTGCAAAGGTTGCAAGCAACAACACCTCATCCTCCAACCTTGAAGTCGCCGTCCTCAAGGCCACCACCCACGACGATGACCCCGTGGACACCCGCTACGTTCGCGAGCTCCTCCACCTCGTCTCTGCCGACAAGGCTTATGCCGCGGCTTGTGCGCGTGCCATCGGCAAGCGCATTGGCCGCACGCGAAACTGGATTGTCACATTAAAGTCTTTGATCCTGGTTCTCAGGATTTTCCAGGACGGAGATCCTTATTTCCCTAGAGAAGTGCTTCACGCCATGAAACGTGGGGCTCGGATTCTGAACTTATCGAGCTTCTGCGACGCCTCAACCTCGAGCCCGTGGGATTTTACGGCATTTGTGAGGACGTTCGCGTTGTACCTTGACGAGCGGCTGGATTGTTTCCTCACGGGAAAACTCCAGAGGAGATTCACGCAGAGTTCGTTGGGCCTCCGCGGGCGAAGGCCCGACGAGCCCGTTCGTGAAATGAAACCTGCAATGCTGCTCGACAGAATCGGGCACTGGCAGAGGTTGCTAGAAAGGGCGATCGCCACCAGGCCGACAGGGCCCGCCAAGGCTAACCGCCTAGTGCAGATCGCCCTTTACGCGGTGGTAGAAGAGAGTTTCAATCTCTATAGACCACCAAGTCCTTGCCAGCGTCGAATTCGTACGCCGATCTTCTGTCGTTGGACGATTGGAACGGGGACGGCGAAAATCGAATGGCTGAAGGGACAGCCGCAGCGCCCGGGACTCCGTCGACAAATCCCGAGCCGAACGATGCATCAACCGGGTGGGAGCTCGTGTTATTCGAAACGCCGCCGCAATCGGCGGTGCCGGCATCTGGGAATAATTTTGAAAGTTTGTTTTGTCCGGTAACGTCGTCATTGCCGCCTCCTCACCACCACTACTATAATCCTTTCCTTCAAGATGAAATTCTTCCGGCGACCTCGTTTCTACCCGCACACGGAGCATTATTCCAGTCGCCGGACATGTTTGCCCTAGTTCCGGCGTTCAAAGAATCGCCGGAAAAAGGCTCATCATCATCAAATCCGACGTCGTATTCAGGCAAGAATTACCAGAGTTCGCCGGCGCCGACATTCCGTGCAACGCGGCCCACATTTTCTGTAATAAGTCCGATGGCAACAGAGACCGCGACAATTATGCAAAATGACGAGAATGACCCTTTCGGGTCAAACTTGAGTCCGAGAAACTTGGTTCAAGAACAACAACTCTGGTTGCAAAATCAAACAAAAATCATAGCGAAGCATTTATCATAATTATAGTCTGTAATAGTGATGAGTTGTATATATGTACATTTTTTGGTAAGTATAATTACTTTTTCTTTGGCTGCTTCGGAAATTTAAATATTCAAACTTAAAAGTATTTAAACGAACTTAATCTCGAACAATTCCATATACCCTGCTTTTTTTAATTAATGTTGAACTGAATTAAAACTAAATGACAACAATGTTATAAATGTTTGTAATATAGGGGGTAATGAAAATGAACAATTTTGTCAAATTTCCACTCATTAATGTACAAATTTGTCAATTTTCTACCCATTTGTTCAAAAATGTCCGGATGAACATTTTAACCGAACTGAACATATACTCATTGATTGAAAAAGAAATTAACCAGAAATTTGGTTAATTACAGTTTATTTAAGAAGGAAGATAGTATATGTGGAGAAAATCTTGGATCAACCATTACAACTTACAAGATTCACATTATTAAAAAACAAAAAATAGTTAACATTATATTCCATAAGGCCATATGAAGGGGGAGTGATGGGCATCATGATGGTTGAGGTGGCTGCCAGCTTGCCGCGTGATTGAGAAGGGAACATCGCCCCCCTCCCCCGTGATAGAGGTGAAGGTCATCACGCGTGGCCACCTCCCCTCAACTAGTCGTTGCAACAGCTAGTTTCTCTTTTTATTTTCTATTATTTAAACACATATCTTCACATCTCAAGTTCACACCCTCAATCTATCTTTTTTCTATTACTTTCTAAGTTTACATGTGAAAGACTCTCTCTTCTTCATACAATCCATCCAAATTGCATTTGATCCATTTTTAATAATAATAAGCTATTCATACTTTTATTCATCTAATATATCTTATATTCACTTCACCCTTAAGTATTTGTCAAATTTTAATTTAATACATTTAATCACGGTTAATTATTTTATTTATAATTTCTATTAAATTTTTATTGGGAAAAAATGCTTATTCTGTTTTTATGATAATAGTGTTTCCTAATTGTTTTTAACAAAAAAACAGTTTTAATAAAATTTTGAAAATATCAAGTTTGATTGAAAATTATAGGTCAAAAATACCAATTTTAACAAAAAATGTTAATAATCTTTTACCTTTGATTTTTTAACTGAAACGGAGTAATTTACATTGAAAAAATATTAAGTTTTTTTGTAAAGTGAAAAAATGCAAAGGTCTTTTTTTAACCATGGAATTTATAACAGTTAGAAAAAAAGGACAACAGGAGCCCGGAGAAATGCACATCATGTGTAACTCTTTTGGTTAATTGTAGAGATATCAATTGACATCTTGTTATCTTATTTGATTTTAGTTTGTTAGTAATTGGTTTATTTATTAGTTTGTTAGTAGTTACTTCTTGACAGCTATCCTTTTTTGCCAATTGTCCCTATCTATTCATTTCTTTATATACTTCTCCTCTGTTAGACTCTCACAACTTTCAGATCAATAAACTTTTTTGCTACTTTTTGTTCTTCATCTTCTTTTAAATTTCTCATGGTATCAGAGGTTCTGCACTAAAAGATTTTCACTGATTACTTGTTCGATCATTTGAAGTTTCACTATCATGTTCTGATTAAGCCTTAGTTGTTATCAATGGTAGAATTGAACAATGAAGCACAATTCTCGATTCATATGGGCTCACTGGACTAGATAATTCCAGATTAGTCCTAACCACACCCAAATTCACAGGAGCCAATTTCTTTGTTTGAAAAAAGTCGATTACCATGGCGCTGGGGCATGTGCTAACCCTAGAGCTAAGAATACAAATTATCAGCGCTAAATCAGAACATATTATTTGGTGGCGTGTTGGATCCTCCTAATCAGTTCTATGTTATCAAAATTGTCATACTCTTTCGTGTATGTCAATGCAGCTAAAGAGCTATGGCCAGAACTTGCTGAGAGGTGCGGACACACAAATGCTCCTCTTATATACCAAATAGAAAAGGAACTCAATGAAATTCATCAAGGAAGCGTGTATATTTCTGCCTATATCACAAAACTTAAGAAATATTGTTAGACTTTGCAAAATCTAAAGGAATTTCTTTTATGTGAGTGTGGCAAAATGAAGGGATGTAGTTGTGAGTACTTGGAAAAGTGGATTGTGATTGAAGATATAAATAAATTGATGCAATTCTTAATAAAGCTTAATGATGATTATGAGGGAGTTCGTGGACAGATACTATCCACAGTATCTTTGCCTACATTAAGCAAAGCTATTTACATGATTTAAAAAATTAAAATGCAAAGGAACATCACCCGTAATGTTCTAGAATTGAGTGACATTTTGGAAAACCCTTTTTGAAATGCCAAATTATCATGGAAAACCCCTTTTGAAATGCCAAATTTCGGTGATAACTTGAAATGCCAAATTATCCTGGAAAACCCCTTTTGAAACCCTACTTTGTCATACCCCCGATTATGAACATCTAAAAACTATTATATGTTCGTGTTATGCCAAAGTGACATCCAATACTACATATGACACATTTGCTTCTAGAGGTAGAAAATGTATTTTCTAGGCTACCTTGTTGATCAAAACGGTTAGAAGCTGTTTGATCTCAACAACAAACCAATTTCTTGAATAGGGATGTGAATTTCCATGAAGATGTCCTTCCCTACAAATCTAATTCCTTGTCCATATATACAAGCCTAGATTTTTTCTACACCAACCCTTTCACTCATAGATCATGACAATATGTTTACTTCTCAGCCTGAATAAGAAGCCCCAAACAATTCTATCATTTTTTAATGGGCAATCAATCATCAATCCTCTTGTTCCAAATTTTCCCACAATCTCACACGATCCTTCCCCATTATCCACATCCACAGCATAAAAATTTGCTAAAAATCTTGCCAAATTCTCATACTATATTTGTCCTACTCTCCCCCACAAAGCTCAAACTCATTCTTCCACTGCTCATCCACTTTTATCTAACTACCACCTTATCTTCTTCACTCCTCGTGTCACCAATTTCTTAACTAATATATTAGCTATGCCTGCACCCACCACTTATGCTCAAGTTAAACAAGATCCACGTTGGATCAATGTCATAGCTAAGGAGCTTAATGCTCTTGAGACTAATTGCACTTGGATATAAACGTCTTTACCAAAGAGTCATAAAGCCATTGCTTCTAAATAGGTGTACATGATTAAATACAACACAGATTATTTAGTAGATAGATTAAAGGCCAAGTTGATGATCAAAGGTTATAATCAAAAGCTTGGAAAAGACTACAAACACACCTTTTCCCCTATTGCTGAATTTCCCACCGTTTGGATAATTATTGCTTTGGTTACTGCTTTTAATTGGTCCTTCTATGTTAATAACACTTTCCTCTATGGTCATATTGATGAAGACACCTATATAATTTCTCTAGAAGGTTATACCATAATTCTCCTTGGTCAAGTTTGCATGCTCCAAAGGTCTCTATATGGCCTTAAATAGGCTTCTCGCCAACGAAATTTTAAAATCAGCAATTTTTAGTCACGATGGGATACATACAGTCCAAACAAGATTATTCTATATTTTCCAAAAGGAATGGTCATGCCCTTATAGTTTCTTTACTTTATGTTGATGAGATATTGTTCACTAGCATTTGCCTCTCTGAAATTTCAGCACTCAAATCTGCTTTACATGCTTAGTTCACCACAAAAGACTTATTAGGGGTTGCGAATTAGAGGTTTCCAAATATTTTATGTGAATAGAAATTAGTTCTACTTAGGATGGTCTTCACCTTAATCAACGCAAGTACATCCTTGATATATTGTCTGATTGTGGGTTAACATGCGCCAAGCTTACAGAACTCCCTCTTCCACAAAATTTAAAACTTTCCTCTCAGTCTGGTCAATGTATTCCAAATCTTGAACCATATATATGCCTTGTTGGATGGCTTTTATATCTTGATCTTCTTAGGCATGATATTTCTTAGACTCTGAGCAAGATTTTTTCTGATCCTACTACTATCAGCCATGAATGAATTATTTTATCATATCAATCGAAAGTTTTAGTTGAGAGGCTTTTCTAATGCTCATTGGGGATCTTACTTTATGGCACATACATCTCTCACTGACGACTGCATTTTCTTGGGCCATGCTTTGGTCTCTTAGAAAACAAAGAAACAACTCACTGTTTCCATATCTTCTACTGAGGTAGAGTATAGAAACATGGTTGTCACCCCTTGTGAACTTATATGGTTGAGTTATTTACTCCATGTTCTTTACATTAAAATATATTTTCTATTACTATGTTCTTTGACAACAAGGCTGCTAAAAAGATTGCTAGCAATCCTTGATATCATGAACAAACCAAACACTTTGATATTGATAGCCACATCACACATAATAAGGTGCAGGAAGGTTTCTTGCAAACTGGTTACAAAGCCTCTAGGTGCTTCACATCATGCTACCTTATCTGCCCAATTGGGTCTTTAATCAGCTCCAACTTGAGGGGGATGTACAGATATCAGTTGACATCTTGTTATTTTATTTCATTTTGGTTTGTTGGTAATTAGTTTGTTAGTAGTTAGTTCTTGATAGCGGTCCTTTCTTGCTAGCTATCCATATCTTTTCATTTCTTTATATACTTCTCCGGCTTTCAAAACTTTTGGATCAATAATTTTTTTTTGTTGCTTTTGATTCTTCATCTTCTTGGATTTCTCATTAATCAATCAATATAATAGTATACCAAATTAAGCATTAATAGAATGCCATGCAAGGGTTATACTCTCTTCGTACCAAAATAAAACTTATAGTTATTATTCACGAGTCAAACTAATTCTACTTTCATTATACATTTTCATCGATCATTTGATAAAATAAAATAATACTGTCACCACTTTTTTGGTAGATATTGTGATGTATTTTTTTAATACATAATTTTTATTCCTTAATTTTATACCAATTTTTAGTTATATTGATTCAAAAATAATTTTAGTTAAACATCAAACGTGAGTTTTATTTTGATCCGGAAGCTAAGGACTAATAAATAAAAAGGGAAAAAGTACAAGAGATTAGACAAGCAGTATATGTGTTCAATAGGGAGTTATCATTTTTGGATATACTAGTACGGAGTATAATTTAGGTAGAGGTGAGCATGATATGGTATGGTACGCTATTTAGCTCGTACCGATACTGTATCAAGTATTTCGATTCGGTATGACATTTCACATCATACTAATTCCGATCCCAAAATTTTAGTTCGATATCGATTTCGGTACAAATTGGAATAAATGCATACACACCTAATTTAAATTTTAAAATGTCACAAAACCTATATTTTTGAAAAATCAAAAGTATATTTAATAAAAAAACACAAAAAACTAAAAAAAATTAAATTTAAATGTAAGAAATGTTTATGAAACTTAGTTTATATTTCATAAACTAAAGTGAAAGAATGATAACAAAATGATATTTCAAATGTGTGTTAATATTTTTATATTCATCTACAAAAAATTGAAACTCAAATAAAAGTACAGTGTGCAAATAATAAAATTTGAACTAGATTTTAGAAATAAACTTATTACTTATTGAATAAATATAAAAAGATTATTATAAATATATATAATTTATTAGTATATATATATTCGATTCAGGATTTTCGGTATGGAAGTTACCTTGTATTGTTCCCAAATATCGATCCGAACATTTGGTTCGGTATTTTAATAATATTTTTCAGTTCAATATTTTTTCAGTTTTCTCAATTTATTTTTGGGTATTTTCATGATCGATTCAATACTTTTTCATCTCTAAATTTAAGAAAAAGTTTATTTGCGTTGAAGCTTTCGGGACACCAAAGTCATATACTCGTTGAACAAAAAAAAAAACTCAAATACCCATATGCATGCTACCCATAATCTCGACTTGACACAATTATAACCATTATTCATCTTCAAAGGCTTCTCCAGAAAGAAAGAAAGATGTGACACTAATTTAGTACTACGACACACCTTCAACCTGAAGGGTAGGTTAGTTATACACCTTTACATGTGGAGTTATAATAATGGCCGTACAAACTGCTTTACTTTATGTTTAAAAGATTTGGTGGTGTGGGGATTGGGATTGTTTGCCGGACCATGGTACACTTGCACTAAAAAAATATACTCCATTTGTACACCACAGGCTTGCACAAACATTTCAATGGTTTACACGGACACAAATGTTGGTGCGTTTAACAAAAATTAGTTTTACACTAACACAAAGTGTTGGTGCAAAACTGCGGAGTACAAATTGGGGTACAAACCTTGGGTACACATGGCATAATCCTTGTTTGCCCTCCCTCATGATCCACCTACCATACTCTAACATGATGATTGGGTGGCTTTTGGTGGTGAGTGCTTACAAGTAAAGGTAAATTATCAAAATTTATACCTTATTTATACACCAAAGTATGAACCAATATTTTGATGGTTCACATTGATACAAAGTGTTGGCGCGTTAACAAAAATTTGCACTAACACAAAATGTTGGTGCGTTAATAAAAATTAGCATTACACCAACACAAAAAATTGGTGCATCTCTGCGGTATACAAAATGGGGTACAAATCCTTGAAGTATAAATAGCTTTATCCTTGCATTATTTATAGTTACTCCGTATTTAATTGGAGCTCTTGCCAAATGTGGATAAAATTTTAACTTCAAAATTAACTTACACAATTGATGTGGATGGAAGATGAGTTAAGGTGGAGATCGTGTGTGAGGGTTAACCAGGATTAGAGGGTAAGTACTATCAAACTTTAATCACTTTTTTACATATTTACGTTAGGTATTTAATACGGAATAAAATAATATAATCATGTAACATCTTATTTTGTAAAGCTTATGTAATTTTAAAATACATAATTTTTATTTTTTAATTTTACACCTATAATCAAATAAATTAAATTGAAAATAATTTCAGATTAACAACATGGTCATAATTAATTCGATCTATGATTTGATTTGTCTTGTTTCCAATACACAACAAAATAAAATTAATGTATAGAGTAATTGTTTTTTAGTACTACTAATTTTATTATAATATAATATCTATTCATATTTACAAAGCATGGAATATATGTTAGAGAAAAAAATCACAAATCTAAAAAAAGAAAAGGAAACTTTATTTGGGAAAATAATGAGTAAATAAGTGAAAAATAAAAGAAAGTATGGTATAGACTATAGAGGAGGTAATTACCTTCGTGAGTAAGGCTCCAATTATTAATCTTTATTCCTGCATCCAAGCGCAGGTAATTAAGTTTTTAAACCGGCTCCCCGAGAGTTTCTGTAATGCCTTTTTGGCCCCAACAACCTGCATCTGGGAGAGACTCCGCAAATGGACATTAACTCCGGCGGCCACAAGCAGCCGACGGCAGCCCTTACTCCACCACCCTGCCATGATTGCCATTACCACCGCCACCGGAAACTTCTTCGAGACCGAATCGTTCTTCGGATCCAACATCTGCGAGAGCTTCATCAGATTCTTCTCATCCCTCACAAAACCCCTCCGGTTGGACTTCACAGTCAACAGGGAAACCAATGCATTTCCGGCCGCCTCCTGCATCCCCTCCGGCTTCGCCGACGCCATTAATTTCACCAGTTTTCCCATACACCCGGAAATCGCCCTCTTGTCGCTCTCTCTGATCTCCAAATCGGAGAGCAATGAAGCACCGGTGTACTGCGTCATGGTGTTTCCGTGCATCAAAAGCTCTGCTAGTTTGGTAATGAAAGCGGAGGAGGAAGAGAGATATTGTTTTGATGCTGAATCGTAAGCGGAGAGTGATTGAATCGCCTGCAAAATATGGTGCGATGAATTCGAGCTGGAAGATTCGTGGAGCAGAAATTGAAGCAATCTCTGTAGCGCATTTTCCTCGAGTAACAAATCGCGGTGGTATTTCCCGGAAGAAGCCATGATCGCCAGACAGTTCGCCGCCTTTTCTTCGGCGGAGGAATGGCCGGAGAGCAGTAATTGAAGCAAAACGGGAATCGCACCTTCTTCTGCTAGTGCGATCCGAACGTCTTCGTTGATTGATACGTTCCGAATTGACCCGACTCCATGGATTTGGGCCGAAATTGATCCGGATTTACAGAGATCGATCAGGGCAGGGACGCCGCCGTATGCAGAGATCGCCCAGGCGTTTTCGGGATCACTCGTGATGCATTCCACCGCCATGGCGGCCTTCTCTTTCGCGGCGATCGAACCAGACTCGATCACCTTCAGTAGCGGCCCCAGCCCGCCCTCTTCAAACACGCACTTGCTCGCCAGATAGCTGGCGGAAACCAGCGCCGCGACGGCGATGACAGCCAGCTCGCGAGTGGCGAGATCGGCGTTGAGGTCGAGAAGATTAATTAAACACGCGATATGTCCCTCTTTGGCCACCAGCGGCGCAGACTTGTCCTCCTCGGCGAGAAGCTGGACGAGCGACTCCAACGCCTTCCTCTGGAACTCGACGCCGCCGATCTGGATGCGAGTGAAGATGTCCCGGATGAACAGGACTAAGTCCTCCCGCGTCGAGGCGGAGGAGGGGTGGGAAAGGACGATTGCGGTGGACTGGTGGAGGACGCCGGAGCGGCAGAGGACATCGAGCTGGTTAATCTGCCTGGATAACCAACCGGCGGCCATGTCGAGGTCCGACTGCATCAGAAGCTTTCCGGGGACAAACGAAGGGTCGGAGCACTGTAAACAGAGAGTTCGTACCCGGACGAGAGTGGAATGGAGATCGGGAAGAAGCATCGGGAGGAGGGCATTATCCGACCAGTGCGGAGAATTGGAAATCTCAGAGATCAGAGACTTGATCGCGGCAAGCTTTGACCGGAGAACTTGCCAGCGGGAGGTGAA